GTTTTAAATAGAGCCAAGTATTTGGAAAGACTCGCTATAATGTTCCTTGGGGATCCATAGCTTCCAACTTTCCCTGAGGAAACGATGGGCATTGAGGACATTATGCAGTAATCCACCCTTTTCAAAGCTAGTTAAACTTAGTCCAGTAAAACACAACTATTAATATAAGACCAGGAAGTTTAAAATATTTAATTATTCTGTTTGTTAGGAGGATATAACTTTCTTCGTTTTGCTTTGCATCTATCATATTATAAAATGAACTAAGAAGTAAGTTCTAGTTTCAGCAAAAGTTAGATGACTTGTGTAGATGGGCAGGTGACAGCCAGCTTATCGTTGGCATGTTGCAACTTTGCTCATAACTTAAGGGTCTAGGTGAACTTCTGCGTCCTGAGATTTCAGAGGAACATTAGGTCTCGACATTTTCAATGCTTCCTAGAGCAGAGTCCTGAAAATTAATAGTTTGAGTGTCAACCCTATTATAGGCATTTTTCTAACTGATGAAATGATAACAAAAGGATACTTTTTAATCTACTACTTTATTAAAGAAATAATATATGGATACAGTCACTTAATAAGTTTCAAGCAATTCATTAGATGTCTTTGGAGCAAATATTGAAGGCCCCCTTCATTTGTCTTCTCCTAATCTCATCCACTCTTGGACATAACAACGATCAATCTTCTAGTGCATCCTTCCATTACTGTTAATAGTCATAAGTGTATGTATCAACACTTGTCATTAAGAAATTTTTTTCTTTCTATTTTTCTGTTTGCAGTTTTGATTTTAAACAAATTAGATGTGAAAGGCCATTATTATTAAATCCCCATTTCTTTCTTTTCCCTTGCCCCTCACTGTCCCCATCCCTCTCCTCCCTCTTAACTATCTCATTTTCTCCCTCAGAGTTTTGTTTATGTCTTTCACTTCTAGATCTCAAAACATTTAAATGAATTTATTTGCTCTTGCAGACATCTTTTGCCCAGAGGTCTGGAGTCCATAACCCTCTCAGTCAGAGAACACAAAGATTTAATGCTTATTCATTTGCGTGGGTGCTGCTATACTCTTTTCAAGCACTCTCTGTTATAATCATGATAGCACTTAGATCCATTTACAGAGGAGAAAATGATTTAGATCCATTTACAGAGGAGTATATGATTTCTAGGAGACTTGAAAAACTTTTATAATACAATCAAATATTTCTTTCACTTTACTAATATTTTTGTAATTTATAATTTATTTGTTCCTTTTTGTTGATATAATTACATATAGCACAACTCAGCTTTTAAGTGTTCAGTTCTGTAATAACACATATACATTTGGGTAACCATCACACCAGGATACACTACAGTCCCATATCACATCAAATTCTCTTGTGGTACTTTAAAGTCAGTTGCACACCACACCCCTGATTTAGGCAACCCCTGATCTCTTTTCTGTCTCTGTACTTTTCCTTTTTCCAAGAGACAAGGAAAATGAAATCATACAGTATGTTATCTTTTGTGTCTGGCTTTTTTCAGTCTGCACTTGAGATTCATCCACTTTGTTGCACATATTAGTTTTTTCCTTTCATTGGTAAATAGTATTCCACTGTATGGATGTACCACAGCTTATTTATCTTCTCCCCAGTTTAAACATTAGAGTTGTTTCTAATTTTTAGTTATTAATATTAAAGCTACATGAACATTCTTGTATAGGTTACCATGTTAACTTTTTCATTTCACTTCAGTAAATATCTGAGTGGGATTTTTGGATCATAAGATTAATTGTACATTTAATAACGTAAGTCTTCTCAAGAATCTTTTCAAAAAGAAGAATGAATGGCCAATATCCATATGAAAAGATGTTCTGTAAACATATTTATTATTAGTGAGAGTACAATGGATTAAAAGTTTTCCCTAATTTAATCTGCACTCACTTTCATAGTATGTAAAAGTTTTCTGCCTTCAACAGTGTCAGCAGGTGACAATTTTGGAAAATGAGACTGGAATTAGAAAATATCAGACGTTGGAAGGATCTGATTTTCTCTAGTGAAGTCAAAATAATTGATTTGAACATTTGCATAGGGCATAGCCTATCCACTCCTGGACACTTCAGATGAAGGAGATCCTGAGTGCTACGGATGATACCAAAGCCCAAGCCTGCTTTCTCCTCTTACTACATTCCTTGAAAAGTATTGCTAATATTTTGTGTTGATTTACAAATGACTGAGTATTAATAATACTATAAAATTGATTCATATTAATAGCCAGATAAAGAATACTTTTGTAATTAATTTTAAAACGGACAAGACTGCTAGCCCCATGGCCAAGTGGTTAAAGTTCTGTGCCCTCCACCTTGGTGGCTGGGGTTTGTGGGTTTGGATCCTGGGTGTGGACCTCCTCCACTAATTAGCCATGCTGTGGAGGCATCCCACATACAAAATAGAGGAAGACTGGCACGGATGTTAGCTCAGGGCTAATCTTTCTCAAGCGAAAAAACAAAGGAACGTTGTCAACGGATGTTAGCTCAGGGTGAATCTCCCTCACCAAAAATAAAAAAAAACAAAACCACAGGATATTTCAGTTTGGAGAAACAGATCTGTAGGTTCCAAGAGTTTATATTTTTATCTTCAAATATTCAAGACAGAATTCTCCTTAGAGAGGGAGTAAAAATATGTGGATATCAGGGAGGCCCCATGGCGTAGTGGTTAAGTGCATGTGCTCCGCTGCTGGCGGCCTGGGATCGGATCCTGGGTGTGCACTGATGCACCGCTTGTCAGGCTGTGCTGTGGCGGTGTCCCACATAAAGTAAAGGAAGATCGGCACGGATGTTAGCTTAGGGCCAGTCTTCCTCAGCTAAAAGATGAGCACTAGCATGGATGTTAGCTCAGGGCTGATCTTCCTCACAAAAAGAAAAAAAATGTGGATATCAAAAAGAAAAATCAGGGAAGGAGAACGTGAATATATTTCACATGCCAGGAGCTTCCATTCACATTGTGTGACCTAATCTTCATAAACAATCCATGAATCAATCTTATGTTGAGAGGTTGTATCTCAGGGTCTCTTGCAAGAAGTCACAGAGCTGGGAAGCAGCATCACTGGGGTGCACAAGCAAGGTCCTCTGACTCCGACTTCCATGGTGCCATTCTGATCCCGTTAAGTTGTAAAAGCTTAATTCTATTTCCATGGAAAATAACTGATTTTCATAGCATTCTGGAGGATCTGTCCATATGGTTCATTCAATTTCTTCCTGACATAAACTGTTAGCAACCAATACCATTAGCAACAAACTTCCTGTTTGGAAACTTCTGTTATTAACATTATACATCTCTGCCCAGGGCCATCTCTTACTATAGGGCAATTATGGATCGTGAAGTGAGAACAGTCCTTCCTGAATCTAAATATCAAGGGAGGTCTAAAACTGTATAGAAAGCCTCCCTTTTGGAGCAGGATGGTCCTTTGCTCTGGAGAGTCCAGAAGTTTCAGGATTAGCTGAGAAGAAACCCTAGATGTTTCTGTAACTTTACAAAACTTCCAGAAAATCTCAGTTGGTTATATGGAAAGTTGCTATTGAAATACCAAGAATTTTGGTTTAAATGTGAGAGAGGAAGAGAAGTAAGGGAAAAATTAAGAATTTATTATAGAGTATAAGGTATTTCACATCTTAGAAACATCGTATTCTGTGATCAGCTTCTTCTTCAAGTATATAGCTGATTCCAAATTCTAACTGGGGCCTGAAAGACAGTTAGAACGCAAAGCAACAGAGAATATACTTTCTGTTTGGATAAGTGTTTATGGGCTAGTGTTATCCTCAGTGTGGAATATATTTACTATGGAGAGTAGCTTCTGGGGTGGGAAATTTTAGAGCTCTGTGTTGTGGATAGAGCAATGCTCATAGGCAGATTATCCATGCTGTGTTCCTTGGGACCTCTTAGTTTCTCAGTTTCCCCAAATTGAGAGCTCCATGTGAGTGTATGCCTATTCTCAAAATCAGAGCCAAAGAGACAAAGTGAATTCAATTATAATGATTCTAGAGATGGAAGTAAAATAGAATCTTAGAATGCCTTTTAGTTTATTTGATTATTTTGTAGTGGTGAGAAAAACCTTACTTTATTTTGGAAAGCAGAGAAATATTTTATATCACAGAATTCTCTGTGCTCACTTACCAGTTATTGTGTCCATTAGAGTAAAAAGTTTAGTTAGCACTTCTCTAAGTAACAAAACAATATTGGAGACTGCTTTCAAGTTTGCCTTCTTGGAGATGGTTCTTTACTGTCAACACCAGAAAGTCTGTCTTATTGTTTATCTCTGACTTCCCAACATGGATGCACATTATTTGCTGTGGGAAAGGCTGGACATGCCGAGGAGTTAATGCACCCTCTAAAAATGAAGAAATACTCCAAATAACTTGCCCTTCATTTGGGACAATTCTAAGTCACAGAATCTATAGAGTCTTCCAGAGGACCACAGTAGGCTTGCACTTCAGTTATGTTTACGAACATAAGCACCCTTCCCTTCTCAGTATCATTTCCCATTCCCTTACGAATGCTTCAAAAAAAAAGCTTCCAAATAAACTACCTGCAATCATATTCTGTCTTTGGGTCTTCTGAGGGAAAGTAATCTAAGCAATTAAGTAGAGATACTAGCACTACATATATACCATTTGATGGGATGATTCCTCACATTCACAAAAGCAAGTTTGCAGTTTATTTGAAAACTTTATGAGAAGCAAAAGGAGCTTTATTATACCTTTCTTATTGTCAAAATGATCATAATTTCTATCATAAAATGTTATTTATTAGATATTGCTTCTATCTGCTAAAATTATAAATAAAATAATATGCTTACATGCAATATTCACATTTCCCATTGTAGCAAAGGTAATGAGTAAATGCTCTAAAGAAATAGAGAATTTTGTTCAATGAGGTAGGTGATATATAAGTTCTATTTTCAATGTCAGATGCCTAAGTGGAGATATCCAAAAGGATGATGAATGTACAGTTTTAGAGTTCCAAAGTCAGATCAAGTCAGCAAAATCTGACATAATGTCCCCGTTTACTCAATCTTTTTATGGCTACCTTTATATCTTTGTTCCTTAATGCATAGATGATGGGATTTAAGATGGGGGTGATAGCAAAGTCGGCAATGAACAGGTATTTATCAATTGATGATGTGGGGAAAGGCCATACATAGAGAAAAATGCATGGAGTAAAAAAAAGAACCACTACAGTGATGTGAGCTGACAAAGTGACAAAAGCCTTGGATAAGTCTCCTGAAGAACGTTTCCAGACAGTGACCAAAATGAAGATGTAGGAAAGGATTAGCAGGAAGAAGGTGCCCAAGCTCATAAAGCCACTGTTGGCAGCAACAATAAACTCAAACTTGGCTCCATCTGTGCATGCAAGTTTTATGATCCTGGGAAAGTCACAATAAAAGCTATCTATTTTATTAGGTCCACAAAAAGGCAAGTTTATAATGAAAGCAAACTGAGACATAGCATGGATAAATCCAGTTACCCAGCCAGTGATTACAAATGAAACACATATTTTAGGGTTCATGATTTTCAAGTAGTGAAGAGGCTTACAGATTGCCGTGTATCTGTCAAATGCCATGGCTATGAGTAACACCATCTCAACTCCTCCCATGATGTGTATGAAGCATATCTGTGTCATACAATCTTGGAAAGAAATGATTTTGTATTCATTTAGAAGGTCTGTAATCATCTTGGGGACTGTCGTAGAAGCAACTCCCACATCAATGAAAGATAGGTTGGTGAGCAGGAAGTACATAGGAGAATGTAAGTGAGAATCAAAAATTACCAAAAACACAATAAAGAGATTTCCAAGGATTATCCCTAAGTAGGTCAAGGAGAATATCAACACGAGAAAAACTTTAGTTTCCCAAGAACTGGAGAGTCCCAGCAACAAAAACTCAGAAACCACAGAATCATTTAGTCCATCCATGGACTTGAGCAGAGGAGCTGATGTTTAAATCACCTGAGGATAGAAAACGATGAAAAATCAGAATCAGTGGTACAAAAGTAGATTTTCTATTCATCTTGCTAGTTTTTTCTTTTGGTTACACATCTTAGAGTTAGAAATCATTTAATTAGATAAGAACAAACGTGAATATGGAAACATTATGGTCATCAGGAGAATGATTATATAAGAAGAGAAAAAAATTATGAATATTTTAGATGGAGGTAAATAGGATTACATTTCTTCTTACTCCATTTTTAGACTTTTTTATTTTGTTTTGTTTTGCCTCTCAAGGATTTATAGATATTTTTCCTGACCGCTTACCTAAGTGCTCTCCCATCTGTATACTCTCAGCCATTTCTGTCACTTGCACATTAATGTTTTGACATTAACTTGCAAATTCTCCTGCGCTGAATTTCTTATTTCACTAGTCAAATAGAGATCTCCAGGCTAAATTTTTTTAATGCATTTCACCTTGCTTCATCTCATATGTGTGTTTTGTTTCCATGTTTGTTTGTGCAATTTACCATGAAAGTCAAGTGCTCGGATTGATTTTTCATGTTTGTCTCATGACACATTATCATGCTGCATATATAGACTTCTATGTTCAGTAAAAATTTGGGATACAAAGACTGTTAGTAAGTAAAAAATATTAAAAACTTATAATATTAATATAATATAATAAATATATAATATTGATAGAAGACATTTGTTGATGCGTCCTCCATGCAAAGCTTTGTATTAATCACATTATCTCATTTAAGCCCCACAGAATTCCATATTCAAATACTGTTTTATTAGACTGATTTTACAAATGAAGAAACTGAGTCCTAGAGGGATGGAGTGTCAGAGCCAGGACTTTTATCCAGAGCTGTAGAACACCATAATCCATGCTCCTAACTGTGGCACTGTGCTCTCCAAGGCCAGCACCTTCAAGTACACCCTGGATCTTCCCCAAGGATCCATTAATTAAACTTTCTTGAATTTTTTTGCTCCCTTTTACTTATTAACACAGTTAACTTCTTTTTTAAAAAAATCAAATCTCTGAATCTTGGGTCCCCTTCTAATTTTCCTTCTATCCCTAACTTTTCATTGGCAATTCTCAGTTTTTGTTTATCAATAAGCCAAAACAATTCCGTTTCTAAGATACCTGTTCATAGAAAGAAACCCTGGATTCTGAATACGTCAGGCAATAGTTAATTTTCAATCAACATTTTCCTTAATCTCCCTGCAGCGTGTGATACTCTTTGTCATGTCGTTGTTTCTTTAACTCCCTCTGCCCTTGGCTTCTTGGCTTTTATAAAGCTAACCTTCTTCCTACTTTTGCCAACAGAGATTCCATTTGTTCAGGTAGTGGGATGAAAGCTCTAAATTTTAGAAGAGAGTAGCCCTATCCCAAGTTGAGAGCATGATATATGACTTTTCTAAACCAGTTACTATAATCCCATTTTCTTTGGCCGTGAATTAGTCTAAGATGGGGCATGTGACCTACAACTCTTCAATGAGATATAAACCAATGCGTCTGCAGGGCTTTCTTTTCGAAACGAAAAGACAAAGCTTCATGTAGAGAAAGTTCTTTTCATGGTTCATTATTTCTTGCATTTAATGCTAAAGATAAGCCTAAAGGTGCAGCAAACATAAAGTTCTAAAGCCCATATACTACAAAGAATGCAGTTGCATTACTTAACCAAATCCAGCAAGTCTCCATTCAGATTTATTGTTGTAATGTGAGAAAAAATAAACTCTAACTTGTTTGATCCACTATAAACTAGGTTTTCTGTAACTGGTTGAATGCAATAAGACCATTTCTATCACAGCCTTCCCCTAATTATTCTGCCTTCTGATTTCTCTATACCTTTCACTAACACAGTGATCATTTTTCCTCTGCTCATCCTTAATATTTGGTGTGACTCAGATTTCTGTGCTAAGTATTTGTTTTTTATTCGACATCAGTTTACTCATTTTAGCTAGTACCTACATGTTGAATTCTGAATCTGTAGCTTTATCCCTGGACTCCAGAGTAATATACTCAAAGCTGCATGTGGTGTACACAAATGGAAGTCCCAACTTCACCTTCAAGTTAACACGTCAAAACTGAATTCATAATATTTTAATCTACTCCAATGCCTGGATAAATAGCATTAGCATTCTTCCAGGTGCCCAATATGGATGCTTGTGTGACTGTCTTCTCTATCCTTTAATTTCCATCTCCAGTTGCATAATTTTTACTCAAATATTTTTCAATTCAGTTCCTGCCTCATTTTCATTGTCATTTGTCTTTTGCTTTTAGTCTACATATTTTCTCATTTTGACAACTGAAAAGGCTACTGAATGTCTCTCTTCACCTTTCTTCCCCAAGTCTAGTCTGCTCTATAGTCTTTTTTCAGTTCAATTTATCCAGAGATCACATATGATCATGTAACTTTCCTACTTAACGTCTTTGATGAGTCTATCAAGAAAAAATTCTTGACCCCACAGCACATCACATAAAAGCCTGAGAAGAGATAAGCAATATTTGATTTCAGAGGATATTTCCATAAAAATCTTAGAGAACACATATACTAGTCACTGAATAAATTTCAAAATTGATTCCTGACAAAAACTCTTAGTAAAATAGTAAGGAATAAGAAATATTTTAATACGACAATTCAATAGAATTTTTAAACAAAAACTCAACATCTGATTATAGATGAAAGATCAAAATCAAGAACATAAAGAAGGAATCCTGCAGGACTATGTTTCAGTGATGTACTATAGGCAAGAAGATTAAATTAAGTAATACTATTGAAAAGAAGGCATCAAAACTACAATCATTCACAAATTATGCAATTTCCATCTCAAAAACTTGAGAGGTAAATGGAAAACACTAAATCTAGTAAGATTATTTTAATAAATATAATAAAGTTAGTAATAATCTATTAAAATATGATAAAAAGGGATCTCATTTATAAATGAAACAAATGTGCAATGTGTTCATTCTATTTAAAAAACAAACTTTTATGAAATATTTGAAACCTTGATTGAAATGGGAGATGCAACCACATTAATTGTAAAAAATAAGACTCAAAGTTATAAAAATACCAATTCTCACTGAATGATTTTGAGCAATAACTACAGTGCTCATTAAAAGTCCAGTGGAAATCTTTTGGAACATTATAAAGTGATCCAAAAGTCTATTTCAAAGCCCAGGGAAATTTTGAAAAGGAAACTAAATGGGAATTGGGGGACAAAAGAGAATGCTTTCTATAAAAGATATTTCTTTCTATAAAAGAATGTATCATAAACCTAAACTAATTAAGCAATGATCAATTTAGAGTAAAGTTGAACACATAAATATAACAAAAATTCAGTTAAGAATGAGATAAAAACTAGGGAAGTTAGTATTTGATAAAGGAGGCATTACAATTATGTAGGATAATGAAGGCTTATTCAATAAATTCAGGGTATTCAATAGTCGTTAAACATGTAGCTCAACCTTGAAAACATAAAATTGTATCTTATACATCTTACAGCAAAGTAAGTTCTGAACAATTAGAGGGCTAAGATGTAAAGTAAAATTATAAAATGGCAATAAAACATGTATGAATTAATTTTTAAAACTTGAGATTGAAGAGGCCTTTCTACGATTACTCCAAATTCAGAAAGCAGACTCCATTTTTGTATTTGTTTCCCTCAACAGAATGAATAAACCTGTTGTTGCTGTGGAATTGGGAAAGCAGTGCTTCTCATTCCCAGCTGATGGGAATATGAAGTGGTACAGTCATTCCAGAGGACAACTGAATAAGAGAAGTAAAAAATATTTTAAGTGTGACTTAGTAATCTTATGTCTTGTAAGTAATTGAAAGGAAATAAAAAGACAAATGGACAAAATGTATAATGTTATTTTACTTCACTTATCAGCATTTCTTATAATGTGAAATATTTAAGAATAAGAGACTGATTACGTAAGTGGATACATTCATACAACACAGATTTTAAAAAGATTATTAAGTCTATATTAACTAGCATGTAAAGATATCAATAAGTCAGGGAAACATTTACAGAGAAAAAATCTTTTTATTTTCGGGGGGTGCAAATAGCATTTTGCATGAGGAAATGTTTAGAATTTGCTCCAAATTTCTCTAGTTTCTGAGATTTTAAATAACTTTATACTTGTTTGTTTATCCTCAACTTGATTTGCTATATTTTAGAGGTAATATTTATTTTTCTACTTTAAAAACAAACGTATCAAAATTAACTGAGGGAATAAGAACATTATATAAGAGCCATTTCCAATACTGTAATGCTGTGTTTAATAGCACAGACACAGGGGCCAACCTGTTTGCATCTCTAGACCCTCCATTTACTGGCTATATGTTCTAGGTGAGTTACTGAACCACTCGGTACATCAGTTTCTTCATCTGTTAAAGACAGATTCTAAGAGTCACTACCCCCATGATTGTTTTGAGGACTAAATGAGTTGAATCAAGAAAACATCAGAAAATGCTAGGACATATAGTAAGTGCTAAATAAGCATCATCTGTTATAGTATATAGTAAGTGCTAAATAATTTGGGTGGTTTTCAGGAAACCATGGGAACAGTATTTGAATTCTTTTGTCAAAAATAAATCTAGTATGCTTTTTCATAGTGTGTCAGTAGAAATAGAATATCCAAGACATACACATTACTTTGTCTTTTTGTGATCATAATGTTCAGAGATAAAGGGGATGAAAAATTCAAGACACTTCACATACTACTTTAACAAGGATAGTAACATTTTGAAGAATATTTTATGTTCCTCTCGTCATACAATTTTAACTATGAGAATAAGACCAGAAGGATATAAACAACATGAGGGAAAATCACTCAGATAAAGTGAGATAACAAAGGAAAAAGGGAGACAGAGAGAAATAGGGAGTAAAAAAACGAGATAATCATGGAACCAGGTGCTGGAGGACTAAAGAGTGGTTCCACATTCCTGCACAGCCTCAGATTTCACCCTCAG